GACCTGATGGAATGTTAGTCTTAGTGTACTGTATGACCAATCAGATCACCAGGAGTATCTCAGACCTTTGATTATGAAAATTTTGAGTATGAACCTATAGGCTGTGTCCTGGAGAAGTCTGGTAAATAAAAAGTTTTTAAAAATTAGTTTTGAAGTGAGGTGTGGTTTTTTTTTTATCATGGTTCAAAACGTGTCAGAGAAATTGTTCAAGCTGCATATATATGAAGTCAAAACTGGCACTTGCACTATAAAAATGTGTCTCAATTGAATGTGCTGTGGCAGAAATTCAGGATCAGTATCTTTCTCAATGTGTCTGCACATGAGGAATGAGAACCAGCTTCAGCTTTCCACAAAAATCTCTCAGTTTTTCTTGAACTTCATCTTCTTTACAGGACTAAAACTCTGTGTCAAACAACAGGCCTATTTCATATCTCAGGCAAGTTGTTGAGGCATGGGAAATTTGAATCTTTCCCATTTACATTTGAAATCCTCATGCTGATAATAAACCCATGAACTCTAAAAAGATTTGATCACAGCTTGATGGCCATGACTTCAAATCTATCTGCCTATTCATATATATGGCTTTCAGCCAGTGAAGAGTTGATATCTGAACAGTGAGAATTGCATGGGTTGCATCTCGGGGACCTTGGCATGGAGTGTGTAACAGTGGCAGAAGTTTATTCTGATGGGGTTTCCCACTTGTCTGGAAAATCAGTGTCTTCCCAGGACTTTCTTTATAATGCAGCATAGCAGTAGTGAAACCTTGAAGTTTTCACGTTTTCAGTTCTCTTGGTCTTTTTCAGTACTTCGTATGGATTTCATTCATATTCAACATTAGAAATATTGTTTTAAGAAATTCTAATGGAAAAAAAGAGTGGACTTTTTGAGAAACTTAAATTCAGACTTCTGAAAAAGCTCACCCCAAGATTTCGGTGCTGAAATATGGTATGCAGATGCATTATATAATACTTAGACTGGAATATTTCTAACTATGAATGGCAGCTTCTGGACTGATACAAGCACATTTTATGTTATTTTTTGGTCCAAAATAGCTTCTGTTAGAATTGGAACAAAATATATATAGTCAATCATAAGCAGGAAAATAGGAAAGGGAAGGGAGAAAACCAGCTGCTCCTTGCAGAAACAGAGCATGCAGTGTGCTAGTAGACACCTGTTTCCAAAATAGTTCATTATGGCACAGTTTGGGAATGCCTGATGTCTAATTATACACTAACTATAGACACTGGTGGTCCAGGACTGAATCCAATTCAGTGGGAAAAAATCTACCTTGCTTACTATGTTTTCTTCATAGGAGAAATGGAATGGCAATTAACAGCATGTGAGCCCAGGCACCTGATGGCTTTTTCTGATGTGGCATTGTAGTGCTTGAGGGGAAGAAACCTGATTCTGGGGTGGATGTGTGAGCATTTTTGTTTAAGTTTAGTAAGATAAAACAAAGTGATGGTGATTTGTATAAGAAAAAAATTGTGGTTCCCCTAATGAAGCACAGGTGAGTTTGGCTCACTAGGACAAGGGATCCCCAGTCCTGATGAAAGCTGTCAGTACTATCACTTCTGCAGATGCACACAGAGCAATGCTCAGTTCTGTAATCATACAGTGCAGGACAAACTTCTTAAGTGGGCAAGACAATACATTAAAAATCAGGTGAGTTTTCTGTTTAGTTTCACAGCCATAACTTATTTTTAAATATTTGGGAAATACTTCATCACATAGTTAATCCGAGTAGAATAAAGTGTCACTGCCACACTGAGTTATTAAGCTTTAGTCTAAAAAAGATTTGTGAGAGAAGTGTCTATGATAAGGTGCAGAAATTTATGTGCATAGTTATTCTGTTGTCTAGTATTGTGCTGTTCACAGCTGTATGGAATAATTAGGCACAAAGCACTGCCAATGTATCTTGAGTACACCTAACATTATCTGGCTGAGCTGGTGATGATTCTTTCCTTTAGAGTGATCACAGCTACCTGCCTAGGTTGTAGATTGAAAGTGCTGCTCAACCTTCTGGCTTAGTTACAGACTAAGAAGATGATAATCAGTCTTGTTTTGTTTCAGGAGGGTACTTTTGGCTGGTACTAGACATCTGTAGGCTTCTCTCTTTTGAGAAAAATACTGGTAGGACTTTAAAGAGTTAAATAGCACATATATTTGCGAAAGACAGTATTTAGGGAGGTTTTTAATACGTGGTTGGTTACTCAGAACAGTTTATTACTTGCTTTAAAGGCAAGAAATCTTGCTGTTCTTCAGGTAGCTGGGGGAGATGAGTGTGAAGCTTGGAAAATGGAGCATGTGTGCCATTTAAAGACACCTTCCAGAAGACATAAACAACTAGTGGTTAATTTTTTGTGCGAAATCCAGGGTAATGATAATAAAAAGCCAAGAGGAGCTTTTGAACATCTGCACTATTATCCAGGTCAGGGTAACATGACTGAGACCCTTTGATGTCCAGGCCTGACTAGAAATATCATAATAGCAGCTCTTGTAGCAGAAATATACAGCCTTTATCTTGCATGGAATAGTGAGTTATCTGAGAGTGAGGAGAGGATAAATTAGCCCTGTACTTTCGGCCCTTGCAAAAAGGCTGTGTAGCATATGTGACAATAATTCCTGGTACCTCAAGGCAAGATTTACTCAATGTACTTTTGGCCTTCCTAGTCACTATGAAACCAACTGGTAAGATGACTGGAATCAGAAATTCCAGATGCCTCTCTACACCAGTTATAGGGCTTTGACTCCAGCTCTGTAGTACTCTCCTTTGTGAAGTCACTGCTGATAATGTCAGGTTTGTTAACCTCACCTTAAATGAGGGCAGAATATCTTTTGGTGAGTACTGCTGAATCACAATAGCCTACATGAAATGGTTTTCATTTCACTGGGCAATGAATAGTTTTACTCTCTCCTTCTACATATTTCAGTATGCGAAGATTCATTCCAACACACAATCACAGCTTGCCTGGGTTTTCTTAATTGAAGAACACCCCATGCAAAAAGTCATTTAGGACTGTAACAGATGCATTGCTTTATTTAGGCAAAAGCAGTCTTGTTATCTGTCATTTTGTGGCTGATGTGAAAGCTCTGAATGGAGTGTTGGCATTATCTGTTTGACAATGATTTGATGCAATGCTACACTGTGCTATAAATTAGTGTCAAGAAGCAAAATGCTAATGATAAAGGCCCCTCTATGCACTGGTGACTTAAATAGCATGTTTCTTTTAAATTCAACAGTGACTCACTCTCTTTTAAATAAAACCCCTCTGAGCTATTTAAATGATGCCATGAAGTTCTAGTGCATATTTCCTTTGATTCTGAATACTTTGGTGTTTACTTGAATAACTTTCAAAATAATCTTTTGAGCATTGTACTGAGCAATACCTTGAAACCTATTGCTTTGTGTAACCAGATATTTTTTCAAAGAAATATTTAATTATCAAGTAAAAGGGTGGAACTCTGTTTCCTCATTTTCTACACTAAATGGAATTGAAGCTGACAGTGGTTTTCTGTACTTTCTCGGAGATTATACCAGACCTAGGCGAAGTCCTGAGCACCATTTTAAATGTTCTTATCACCTTTTAGGACTCTCACTCTCATGTAATTGAATTGGTATTGACTAGAGAGAATTTCCCAGGATTGATGGAACCATTTTGCTCTTGGATGCCTTGACCCTTCAGGCACACACTAACTGAGCCCTACTAAATTCAGCGGCACCATCACAGCTTAATTGGCTGGGGATTCAGATACATGAATTAGGAGGATCTTCTTTGCTCCAGTTTTGTGCATTGATGAACGCTGCTGATGACATATAAGTTTTTCTCCAAGTTTCAAATGCAAAGTACAAGTTCTTTTCATCCAGGGAAATATGTCAATGTATCAGCTTTCTGCTGCTATTCTCATCCCTACACACACATACTGGGCGCTCTCAAAGCTCTTTTGGATTGAAGTAATTCCCAAGACAGTCACTTCCAGGCTAGACATACATAGCTGAGGAATGACAAAATTTGTGTCATTTGCTTCTTTGCAGTTTCATATCAACAGATTTTTTTGTTAATGCCTGCAGTTAAATAACCTAAATCATTCTCATAGCGTCCATACCAAAAGTAAAAGGATCAAAGGATGAATACCAACTACTGGGCAAGTACACAGTACAGGTTCTGTTTATGGAGCAGGACAGTTTTCACTCCAGAGCTCTCCTTTCTATTTAATGTTCACTTAAGATAATTTTTATACATTGAACATAAAGTTGTCTTCATGATTGCTGAATTCAAATAATATATTAGGAAGAAACAAAGAAATATAAGGGAGTATCTGTTCAATGGCAGGGAAGGTAGACAGAGCGGGGCCCATGAGCAGCTGAATTTTTCAGCATTAGGAAGATGTTTACAAAAAAAGGTAAGGAAGAGAAGATAGGTGAGGACAAAAAGAAAGAAATTAGGAAGAGATAGTATAAGAAAGGAAAATCAAGGGAACAGGAGATAAAAGGTGTAACAGAAGAGCCATACATAACAAATCCTCAGATCCCTTAGAGTGGCTGCTCATGATGACTCTTGTGTTTAACACTCCACCTCGATTATGGAACTCTAGCAGCAACCCTGTTGTCTTACTGTTGTCACTAGAGGCAAAATACAGACACTAAGATGTTCATTTAAGGGAAAGAGATAATAAATGGGTCCATTCAGGACAAAGGATTGAGTTGTATTTCTTCTCTTGGGTTTTTTTACTCCCACAATCTTGTTTTTCTCCCTAGATTCATACACAGTTGTCACACCCAGCACTTCCAACTTTGTTTTCCCATTGCTTTGTCAATAATTTTTGCACAGCATTTTGACTAAATCAAACCCAAAACTTGGAGATGTGGGACAGAGGACTCACTCCACTCCCAGTGCAGAGGCAAAGGAAATTAGCACACTTCCCTTGGTCCTTCCACTCTTAGTAACTCTCAGAAGATGACAATTGCTTCCCCACACTCCCACATTAGAAAACTTTACCTAAGCGTTTCCCCAGATGATCCCCTTCTTTTCCACAGGTTCACCAGGCTGCTGGAGCGGCTGGCGGCTGAAGAGGACTTTCCATCGCCTACGTGCATGCGGACTACTGTCGACGTGGTGAACGCACTGCGCACGTTCCTCTCTGGCTTGGCGAGGATGATGTACACCTTGGGCACAAACATGCAGCCAAGGGCCACCGTGGCACTCAGACTCACTGAGAAACACATGGTGATTATCTTGTAGTTGCTTCCAAAATATATTGGCACAAAAGCCAGCCAAATGATGCAGGTGGTATACATGGTGAAGGCAATATATTTTGCTTCGTTGAAATTAGCTGGGACGTTTCTTGTCTTAAATGCATAAAAGGTGCAGCTCAAAATTAATAACCCATTATATCCAAGGGGAGTCACAACACCCAAGTTGGTGGTGTTACAAATCAGGTAGACCTCTCGGATGCTTGGGTAATCATGCATTATGTCTGGTGGCTCCATTATAAAGAGGGCAACTATGATGCCTAACTGTATACATATCAAGATAAATGCAATAACCAGCTGGGCGCAGGCACTCATGAACCTAGGTTTCTTTGTACAGATTTTCTTCTTGCTTCCAGCCAGGATTCTTGCAATGCGGTTGGTTTTAGTTACTAAAGCAGAATAGCTCATAGCGGGTGAGAGGCCGATGCCGATTCGCTGAAGGTAACAGTAAATCTGTTGAGGTTTTGCAATCAGACAGAAAGTGCACAAGTAACCCAGGCAGATGCCAGCCAGAATGATGTAGCAAAGTTCTCGGCTGGATGATTTGACCACTGGAGTGTCACGGTACATTATGAACACGATTGTAACAAACAGTGTGGCCAACAGACCCAGGCATGCAAAAACTACGGCTGCAATTGGTTCGGGATCGCCCCATCTGAGATACTGGACTGGGATGAGGTCACAACCTGCAGAAAAAGAAAAAGAGAAAGGTAAATTGAAGTATGTAGATGTGTGATTCTTTAATGGTAGTTAGAGGTTTTCCTGGTATTTCTCTTTTTTGTTTTTGAGGAAGCTGTCATTGTGTGGAGTGTAGGCTCAGATTGTGTTAAAATAATGTCAGTATCATGGCACAATAAGTACATTTCAATGACAGCTTTTTTCAGTAGTACACTTTATCTGGAATAGAACATGACCAGGCTGATTAAGATAAGTCACCACTTACAGTGCAAATTTGCTCTTTAAATTCTATGAAATATAGGAATTTGTGAACAAATTTCTGCAACAAGTTGCACTACTTCAGTATAAAGTGCTTCAGAGTTTTCTGCATGCTATTTGCACATAAATGACTAGATGTCAATCCTACTAAATATACTGTACACCGTGAAGGATATTGGTATTTGCTTAATGATTGTGGAGAGAAATCTTGCAAATTTTGACTGTCAAAAAAAAGAGACAGTTTCTCAGATTTGCTACCTTTTTTCTAACAAAAAATTTCTAGAATTGGAGTTGTAATAGGTAATTTGGAATGGCACACTGTACTCACTTCTTTTTCTGACATTCATCCTTCTGAAATTTCTGAAAAATTAAAACCTAATCTAACTTGTGAAATAAAATTGAAGTTAATAAATTAGCAACAAAGCTAAATTAGCAGTGTAACCCATTTAAGGACACTTGTTTTTCAGTTTTGCGTAGGTTTTAGTAAATCATTCTATGCATCTTGGTCATAGCAAGTCAAAAAGTCTTTTAATTCTACAGTGAACAGATCAATAGACAGGAGTAAAAAACTGTCAGAAAACTTGTTGCTGTCATCCCTTCTTCTTCCCTCCTTTGTGTATGCACTGTCAAGGCTGGATAGATATTTTTGCATTCTGGCCAGTCTATGGTCTCTTCCAGGATTTCTGGGCAAACATAGTTGTTGTGTTGCTGACTACAGCCATAAGCATCCATCCTTGCATTTTATTTCCAAAAAACTGAATCTCCTGTTCAGGTCCTTTGACCTTGCTTGTTTTCATGACTTTCACGCAAGATGCAGGTGGGTTCTGTGTCCTGTGGCACCAGAGTATGTTATACCAGTGACTACCAGCAAAAGAATTGTTCTCTACTTCCCATCAGCAGGTGATACACAGGCACTTCCTGGGAAGCAGGGCTTCAGTAAATGTAGCAGTTTCTCCAGAACAAAAATGTCAAAACGAAAAATGCACACACCCACACCTTTCTCTTAGGTTTTATTGCTGAGCAGACATCATATGGTACAGGATATCCTTTTGGTCAGTTTGGGTCAGCTGTCCTGACTGTGCCCCCTCACAAGATCTTGCTCATACCCGGGCATATTGGTGAGGGAGGAATGTTGAAGAGACAGCCTGGAAAAATGACTGCTGTGTTATCAATGTGTCTCTAGCTACCACTGCAAAGCCCAGCACTGTGAGGGCTGCTATGGGGAAAATGAACTCCATCTCAGCTGGACCCAGTAATAACAAAGGGGAGGATCTTGGTGTTCTGGAGTGTAATGGAGAAAATGCATTTCTCCATTACATGTGTTTCTCCTATACATGTGTTAAGCTTGGTTGCAAAATCTAAATTAATTCAAAATATTGTGGTTTTTGTAATCATGTTGCTGTCTCCTGGTTAGGTCATGTAGGGGAGTGTCATTCTGACTTGAGGCTTGTGACAAGGCACTTCACCCTGTGAAGATGGAGTGCCACGTGCTCACACCTGCATTTTCTGCAGTGAGGGTAGTTAGGACTGTCTGCTGGATATTTGGATGCCAAGAAATTTCAATTAATTAGGCAACCTGGCATCTCAATGTGTTGATGAGCAGGAGTAAATGTAGATATCATGACTATAATTTGGGAATTTCTACATGGGTAATCTATTGTATGCTTTTTCCCGTATTTTATGTTGGGTTTAGAGTTTTCCAAATGTGCCACTAACATTCTTAGTGGCAAAAATCATGAAACAGTATGGTTAGATATTAGGCCTAACTCCTTTCTTCTCCAAGTATCTTTGCATTCTGTATGCCTACAGAAATAATATTTTTGAAGATATAATACCTTCAGTCAGGTGGCAAAAGTACAAGGCAGATACTTCTGTGTTCTTGAAGCGAGTGGAAAACTCAGTAGGACTGGGGTCAACGAGTCTTGACATTAGTGCATTAAAGTATACAAATTTGCAGTTGGGCTCCTTACTGAATACAGATTAATTTCCTATCCATACTTGCCTGCTTTGATGTGAAAAGCTTTCTCTTGCATTAATAAAATTATTACCACATCTAAACATATGAAAGACATTACATTTTCATGAAAAATTTTCACTGCACTGGTTGATAATACCTTTATAACTCTTTCTGGTTTTATGGGTTTTCTTATTTAGTATTAAGTGTGAGGGAGACATTGTATTTCTTTCTGACTTTTTCAAGTTTAAAGTAGCACAGTAATCACATCATAAAAAGCAGCATTTTACACAAGTGAGAGTACGGGAAAAGGGTGAAAACAGGAAGGAATCCTCTCTTGTGTGCAGATATCCTACTGTGGGTTTTTCCCCAGGAAGTTTTATAAATCAGTGACTTCTAAATCTATTTCTGATTTTAGCAAGATTTAGCTAATATTTTGTGGAAACAAATAGTTTCCAGCTTCTAACACTGCTACATATTCTTGACGGGAGATTTGAGAAGAAAAGGTCTTTATCTGGCAGCTGGCCTTTGCATGCAGACAATGATATAGGGGCTAAATTTTTGCCTCATTTCTAACTTTGTAGCAGAGGTGAATCAAACCAAATGTTTCTCATAGTTTCAGACTATTTCATGCCCTCCTTGCTTTATTACTCTTTTTTTACATTTTCTTGATGAAATACCTAAGAAAAGAGTTGAAAACTTGTCATATTTTTCCCATCACTGAGTATACTTTACAAGGAGATTGCTAAACTTGGCAATGATTTATTCCTCAATTAAGATTTAAAGACTGGATCATCTTCATGAAACAATGATTGGTGAAGTTTTCATATAATAATTTTGCAGGTAATGGTTTCTGACAATTGCACTTTTCAGAGAAGGACAACTAGATCAAGTAAAAGAAAGATGGGAAAACAGCACTGTGACTGTTCCTGTTAGATTGATGACCTGGACAATACCAAGACAAAAGCTGAAAAATGGTAGCACAAAAAGAACTCATTCTTGTGAATGGCCATGACAATGCCCCACAGCCTATCTCTTACACTTTGTCAACATCTCCAAGCACCTGGAAAATTTTCTCTCCTAGCTGGCTCAGAAACAGGTAGAAGAAAGCCAGTAGTCTTGTCCTATGGTGCCCAGTCTTGTCCCGTGGTACCTTAGCATGCTGAGGCACTAAGGTGGTCTGTGGCTTGTGGAAAGGCTCTTTGGACCCAGTCCAATTTGGAGCAGGTGTTGAGTTGTTCTATACTCAAGGGTGCCTGGAGTTCAGTAAAATTGGCATAAAACTGTAATTATGCTCTGCTGGCAAGAAAGATAACCAGTGTGGAGCAAGACACCAGATACACATGTGAATAGCAAGATGAGCAGATAGAAAAAAAATCAGAATTCCATTTAACATGCTAGAGAAAGGTTTTCTTGAAGGACCCCCAAAAATCACCAAGAAAATACAGATAAGGATGTCTAAGGATCTTCTGAGAAAAAAAGTAGTTTTTGATATTTTGGAAAAGCCTCTAGCTACTTCATGGATAGACCAAATTTTGCCACGAACAAGGAGAAGAAATGCTTTTGAAGGCCTGACCACTGCCATAGGTAAATTAGTAGGTCTATTAGTATACTGTCCTCTTTCTGTAGAGGCAAATTTGTACCTTATTTCTGATCTTTCATATTACATTAAAATTAGTTCATCTGGGAGAAGAGTTTACAGATATAAAGCATTATATTATAGACCATATTTTCTGTGGATTTGATTCTTAGCATGGTTTTAATTTGTTATTACAACCTTGACACCTAGAAGATGCCTTCAGCATCCGTAAAACTGCATTAGCTTAGCACTGAGAAATCCCTTCCTTGGTAACCAATATAAAATACAGAAGTAAACTATTTTCAAAGGTAAAGTTGACAGAATAGGGATTGTGAGTAAGATTGAGACTGAAAAGTGAAGGTAATTCAATAACTTCTCTTAAGTTAACATCACGAACTAAAGTTCACTGAATCTGCACATGGAGAATAAAACTGGAAGAAAATTGCTGCTAGTTTAGTAAGTTCTAAATATTTTTTAGTTGGATTTGGCATCCTGGTCAGCAAGTTTGACCTGTTAAAATAGACTTGATTTCCTTGGTAGTTTTTCAGACATCCTTCCAAGATTATCAGAAGTCCAGATTTCAAGGTTGAAATGCAAACAACAACGTAACCACATTTTAATAATGAATGTGTCTTCATATGGTATCTAACACTAATTATTCAAAGTCTATTTATGTTATGAAATCAAATATTTTATATCAAGGCTTCTAAATTTTTCTCTTGTTATTTAGCACTAATTATTCAAAGTCTATTTATGTTATGAAATTAAATATTTTATATCAATGCTTCTGAATTTTTCTCTTTTTATAGTTCCAAAAGATGGGAGAGGGATCTCTTGATTAGTTATTTAGGCTTCCACATATATGGAAAGCTGAGATGCAAAACCGTCAGCATCAGAATAAAAATTTGCATAAAGCTGATGGGGTAGCTTTTATAATTTGTTTATTTTTTCAACCCCAACATTATCCAAACAGAGGATTACACTCTCCAGAGTCCTGGGGGACATATCAGGCCCCTGACCTTCACATGGAATTGGGACCATCTGAAGGGAGAGAGGACATTAACATGTCAGAACTTTGCTCTGGTGCTATAGCAAGTTACTGTAGTCACCAATCATTTGCCCTACTCTGGTGGGACCTTTTGAACTTGTTACAAAAGCAGCTGCATGCTGCAGCACCCAGACTGGCACTCGTTACTGAAACTATCAGCAAAGGTGGC